AGATGCGGACCGCGGATCTGGCGATTCCATATGGAAGAGGGCGTCCGAGTCCCAACGGGTCGGAAGGCGGCGCGAATCCCATGTAACCCCCAGCTGATCTGGCAAAGGCACGACCATCCCCTGAAAAGCACCAGCACTAGGACTTCCGAGGATGAGGCGGGTCGGAACAAAGGCGGGAGAGGCGTCGCAGACATGCGCTGGATGCCATGGAGACGGAAGCGGCCCTTCATGCTGCAACAGGTCTGGGGGACTTTGGTTTTTAGAGGAAGGGTCCGAACAGTTTGGTGCACATTCCGGGCCCCTGATCTTGCAACCCTGCACCCCAAGTCCCAAACCCTCAGACCTTCAAAATGCCCCGAACCCTAAGCCATGAACGCCGCAGACCTCAAAACCGCAGCCCTAAACTCCCGAACTCCTCATCATTTCACAGCACAGAAACAAGGCTGGCGCTCTTCGCCGACCCCCCTGAGCTCTCCGAGACAGGGCCTCAGAGCCTTTTTTGGGACAGCTTGGGTCGAGGGCTCTAGTATTGGACATCGTGTTCAGCAGACCACCTTGCGGAGCGAGTGGTTCTTGTCTACAGGTCACCAATGGTGTAAAAGAACAGAAACTCGCCCATCGTCTGCGAATCCAACATCGTGAACCCCAGTCGTCAGCCAGAAGCTGGAAATTGTTGGAGACAGTGGTGCCCTGAGCGCTACATCTTGCGGACAATCCGTCCTGAACCCACCATGCCCTTTTTGACGCTTGAAATTCCAACGCTAGGATAAGGTCGAGATGTAATGGGACGCTGAACACTAAATCTTGCATAGCAGAGGCCTTGGATGAGGCCACCGGCTCAGGATGCAGAGTGGTCGGTTGGAGCTAGGGAAGATTCCATTGACCGCGCTTTGTCTGAGTTGGACAAAAGCTTTTATCCGTCGAGTGAAGACTGGCGAAGCTTTCTGGACGCCCACGTTAATCTTATGCCTTAAAAGGTCCGGAAGCTGGAGTTTGTGATTTGAAGTTAAATGCCCCTGGCCTGGGTAGACCAAGCACAGAACACTGCGCCTGCAACTTCCCAACCCCCGCATGCCCTCCCCCTCAGCACCCATCCAGTTCCGAAGGCAGGCCCTCCACCGGATCGGCGACCTGGCCCGTGTCTCAGTGTTTGAGGCTTTCGTACTTGTGGCTCGTTGCGAGGATGTAGGGCCAATGTAGGGTTGTCGACTTGTAGCGGTCGCCACAACCCTCAAGTTTATGTAGCTTGTGCAGCCACAAGCTCAGGGTTTGGAGGGTTTGCATCCAAGCCGAGTGAGCTTTCGCTACCTCTATGAGATCCGCCAGCGGCATGGGCCGCCTCCCCTGCACTCGGCGTTGATCCGGCTAGGGCCTTACATGATAGAAATGGCTAGGGCCGGCTGCGGTTTGGGCTTAAGGGTTGCGGTTTTCTAGGAGCAAGTCATGCCTGCCTAGACGTTTGCGGGCCGAGGGCTTTGGGTATAGGGTTTTTAGGATGGTAGAGGCTTTGAGGTCAAGTTTTTCTGGCCTCTATGCTCATTTCAGAGCCGTGCATCTTCTTTCGTCAATTTGGCCAAATCCCGATTGAGGATGACGGTCCTTTTGGGCTTAAAGCTTACAGTTGTGTTTCACAAAGGCAGACGCGCACGCCACGTCAGTCGTGTTCAATGCAGAGAAGAGAAGTTCCGAGCTTAATTGAGGTGTTTGAAAGACAGAGCAAAGATCGAAAAGAGTCTTCTCGTTTCCTACACCCTGCCCTAAATTATTGTCCGAAAAGATAGCACTCTGGGTCGGGGAAGGCAGTCTCGGGTTTGGGGGGAACCCTACCCGTTCAGGAGACATGGATTGAGAGCTTCTGCAGGTGGCAGGGCACAGGGGATTTCTGATTCTGGATTGGCGACCAACGTCCGAAGTCACCAAATTCTGCAACCCTTCAACCCTAAAGCTTTGTCCAAACTCCAAGTCCTTAAATCCTGCACCCTCCTTCCTAAACAAGCCCAGGTTTTTCAAGGCCGCTGCTCACCGTCAAAGCGATCTTCTGGGACCAAAGGCCAGAAGACGCAGGGTTCAGAGTTCCGGCAGAGGTGTGTTTTCGGGTGTTAGGGCCTTTAAGGGGTTTAGAGCTGTCCCGCGGCTCTGTTCGTTGTGGGGGTTTCAGATTTAGCGTCAGGTAGGATCAGATCAGGGCCTGGGGCCTGGCTTTCGGGGCTTTGGTCCTCGAAGCTCTGCGCTAGTTGGCTTGGAGGGTCTGTCGGATCATTTGAAAGGCTCGGCCCTTTGGCTCAGTCTTTCAATTCTCCTGAAATGTGTCGAACCGATACAGTAAGAGTTGCCCCAACTGGTGTGAGCTTACCTTCCGGACGCGCGAGCCGGCTTGCAATCTAGAGTCTAGAGTTCCTTCAAAGCTTCTGAAGCTTTCAAGCCACAGACATGCAACTCGTTTGGAATGCGCTTGTCCTACTATTGCTCAAGATATAGTCGCGAGAAAGCCAATTTTTTCGGAGCCGTCTTATCATTCAGAATGAGTTGTTCCTTCGGTTTAAACGTCCACCTTTTCTACCATGCTGAGACTCTGTGGCAACCAGTATTGACGCCTTGTGCGTTTGCAAACGTATGTGTATATATATATATATACACACACATACATACAATATACAACACAATGCAAGACAAGACAATGCAATACAACACAGAATAGTACAGTACAATACGACACAAGACAAACAATACAAGACAACACAATACAACACAAGACAACACAACACGAAACAACACAACACAACACATACAGGCAGACAGGAAGGCAGGCAGGCAGACAGACAGACAGACGTCTGTACATACATACTTACATACCTGCGTACGTCAACACGAACATACATACCTACATACACACACATACATGCATGCAAATAACATACATACATACATACCTGCGTACGCACGTATGTATGTATATAGATATTTTTGTATGTTTTTATGTTTGTAATGTATGTATGTGTGTATCTATGGATGTATGTAGGGAGGTAGGTAGGTATGTACGTATGCATGCATGCATGCATGCATGCATGCATGCATGCATGCATGCATGCATGTAGGTGTACGCTCCAAGATACAATTAACCATGCAACGCCTCCTCTCCTGACTTCTGCCTGAGGCCTCAACACGACATCCTAAATCCCGCAATGAAAGCTCGAAGGAGTTTGTCGAGGGTTTGCAGCATCTGGGAACCTACGAATGTAGAGACCCGGATGCCGCACCCTCAGGTTTGTTTCTTCTGCGGGTTTGGAGCTTCACGGACTTCGGGAGTTACAGTTAGGTACGAGTTTAGGCTTTCAGGTTTAGGGTTTTCGAGCTTGTTTGAGGATCCTACGTCCTAGTGTAGGATTCTCCTCAGTTCTGGGTGTGTCCGACAGCTTGAACTTCCATTGCCCTGAGGAGTTGGGGCTCTTGGCTTTTGCTATTCTGTGACGATCGCGCACACACGACAATAAGCTTCCATGCGGGGTGGAACTCTCCAAATCCCAGTTCACAGAACCCTTGAACTTCGAACCTGAAGCTTGGCATGGTTTAGAGCCTTATGTAATGCATGCTCCGGGCGCTTTGCAAAGCGTTCTGGCACAGCGGCTCTGTGTCAGGGTTCGCTATAGAGATGGTGCTCGAAACTACGAGTGACATGCATTCTCTTGCACCCGTCCCATGCACGGTTCTTTGCTTGGTCGTCGTTCTACTGCTGCGTTCCATCGAAGATGGAGTTTACCCAAGTACTGAGAGTTCGTTGGATGCACAGTGTGTGCATTTAGGAATATGTGCGTGCCCAAACCAAACCAAAATGTAACACTAAATGGATTGAGGCCGGGGTTCAAGGTTTCGAGGTTTGGGGTTTCGGAGCTCTCGCTTCAGGATTTGCGGGGTTGGGGTGGTTTTACTTTTACATGTGTCGTCGCCTTCCTGCCGATCTAGTCGCAAATCCTTTGCAACTGAAAGCAGCTTCAATGTGGAATCCCAGCAAAGCCCCATCTTGTTCCTCCCGCTCTGCTTAGAATCTGGACACGGCAGTTCTAGGATCTGTGAGGCCTCAGTGTCAGCTAGCCCAGACCCTGGCAGCGAAGGGCATACATCCTCGAACAGGCAACCGAATCGTGTAAGTAGGGTTGAAGCCTGTATGTAGATCCCTCTATAGTCTAATTAGGTGCCACTGCTACACGCGGGCCGCCTGTACCAGCTCTTTGAGGCCGATAGTGCACACGAAGGGGCGAGGGCCGACCATGAAGCAGTTGGTCTTGTCTAGGGTGCTTTAAGGCTGAACCCGACAACAGAATGTGCCAGCTGCAGTTCGTCAGGCGTTCAGCAGGGTCTTTGGGCTGTTAGTGCTCCAGCTATTGATTTGTTGGGAGTTTCGTTTGGGATTAGTTCGGGATTCAGGGCTAAGGCACCAGGGTTTGGCGTGGAGGGCTGCCGGCACCGGTTCTAATGCTGCTTGGCGTCCAAAGTCGCACCACCCAAGGTTGGATGTACCGTTCAGGAGTTTCGGCTTACTAGCGACTGGCGAGTCCCGTCGGCCGCCAGGGTAGGTCATGAATCTGCTGCACCCTTAGATAGCTTCAGGGTTACTTTAACCTGAAGCCCTCAACCCCTCCCCCGAAGGCATTTATCACACAGCATCTTATACCCTCCAACCCCACAAGCATCTATCACATAGCATCCTACCCCGAAACTCCAAAGCCTCACCTCGACTGCGCAGAAACCATCACTCCACCACTTCACAAGTGTCCGATATCAGCGCAGCAAACAAGGCTCAAGCCCGAAACACTCTTCGGGTTTAGGGTTTGGGAGTTAGGGTCGAAGTTCAATGCTGTGGAGTTCAGAAGCTTAACCTCCATGTCCCGAAGTGGCAAACGCGTATCTGCGATCCTGACTCCGGAACAATTCCTCAACGTTGTAAGACTGTAAGCATGAAAGCCTGGTTAAGACTACCACGCACGTGAACCTGAGTTCTCGAAATGGCCGCGTTCTCTGCAGAATCTCTCACCCTTTGTGCCTTTGCTCCAGCTGTGCTGGAGCAGCCCATGCACCATGGCAAGCCGCGGGCAGCAGGGTTCTTAGGTAGCACTTGTGAGGTCCACAACCGCAAAAGACAGGCCTTTTGCATGAGCCGAGGAGCTGCCTTGCCGGGTCCGAGTTCAATCACCGATTCTACCGTTGTGTCTAAGTACAAAGCCCAAGCCCGAGCAGTGCGGTGCCCTGACTGAGGTATTACCTCTCCCCTGGACAAGCGTCCGTCGTGGAAACTTCAGAGATCCTGAAGGATGTGCACCTGAACTTCTCCTTGCACTCTCATCCCTGAAGCTTCTGTATCTCCAAGACCTTTGGTAGGGCGCTTGAGCTGCCTGGTGTGTCTTTTGCTCAAGGTCCCGTAAGTATTCGTAATTATTCTTCCGGTCGTATGAAATTGGACAGTGGTTTGAACTATAGCCAATATTCGACAGTCGACAGCCCGTCGCAAGGGAGCTGCGCAGCATATCTAGGCCCGGGAGATGAACAGAAATCAAGACATTATCAAAAGTGGGGAAGTTCCCAGCGGCCAACACGCTTTTCGCCTTAAAGCAAACAAACCAATGTCCCATCGCTGACCTCCGCCTGAAAACCACATCTTTCGGGGTCCTATCCTCAAGTGCAGGCGATCGTTACCCACACACTCAATTTCAAGCGATCTTTCCTAGCACGTGCAGAAATGCTCATGGCGATAATTTCCCTAAACCGTTCAAGTTTATTGTCAGTTCTTGAGAGCCCGAAGGAGGCCCAAGGAAGCACGGTACGACGGTACGTGAGAATCGGCCGGAGGAAGCCGTCGAAGCTGCCGGCGGCCTTCAGGACGCCTTGCCCTTTGCCATTAGATAAGGGTTGAGCGGCTTTCGGTGCAGAACCTGGCGGCAGCGACGTTCTTTGAGTTCTGAAGTGCAGACACTTGAGAGGACAGTGGGTCAACCATGCCCCAACAAGAAGCCCCTAGATTGGCGAGGACCGCGCCGATGGCAAGCTTGGATGCTATGTTCCTCACCGCAAGGTCGCTGCTGCACCTCGGTCACAAGGAACTCAGAAGCCTGTGGAAGTTTGTCTTCAGGGGTGTATAAGAATGCGAATGCGAACTAATTACGCCTAGAATGAACAAAACCCCGAAGGCGTCTGCAGTTTAGCAGACTTTTCCACTCCATGGTGCAATGCGGGTGGCTTGAGCTTCCTTGGCAGATCTTGGGTCAGAGCTCTGGGAATGAATGTCGCGCCACGTACCCAGAGGTACGGCTTGATGGTTGTAGTTTCTTTTGCAAGGGGCTTTCAACGATGCGATAAAATCGGGAGGATGGAGGCTGGGACGTTTGCGGTTCGACACATCCGGCTTTTGATTGGAAGTTTTCGGATGCAAAAAGCTCATTGTCACCCCTGGCAAGCCCTACGACAGTGTACTCGAGACCGAAACAGGTCCCAATACGAGGGCGCTGCACGTGAATGGCAAAGGTTGAAACCTTAGACCAAGGCCAACTCCCAAAGCCTCCATCCTAGACAAGAGACTTACCCACTGCATAATCTCAATTCTGCAAAGCTCTAGGCATTGGGCCTGGCGTCCAGTGGCATCGACACGGCAGAGGCCGGTCTTGCGGGCTTCTAACGTAGCCCTGACGTGAGTTGCGCTGAACATGCACTAAAGGCTACAGCGCATGGCCTGAAAGCTAAAGCTGCGAAGGTGACGTTTGGTTCATACCTATGGTGCACCGAGTTCGCACCTTGGTTGCTCCGAAGACAAAGTTCATCCGCTCCCAACCTTTCTTCTGATTAAACTTACGCAGACTTGGTACCGGAGTGGAAGCGTCAGGAGGCTTTCGGGGCCGAGATGCCAGAGAGGTGCCGGACAAAAAACAGATGACGACATGCATGTACACTCTGCATGCCTTCAGCCCCTAACCTCCTGACCAACAGCACCGAAGCCCCAAACAGCAAACCGCCAATCCCAGGAGAATGTTCACTCCACCTGGGTCTTTGAGGAGCCAGGCTTGGATTTCAATGGCCTGCGGTTTAAAGGGCCAGAGCAGCTGTTTCAACTGCACCACGGCGGCCTATGGTTACAAAACCATGCGTGGTGCAGTCTGCAGGAGTTCGGGTTCCTGTTGTTTTCCCCGTGTTGGACCAACCCTGAGCGTGCCGCTGTTCAACCCCTGTGCATATCCAAACGCTGCATCTGACTAAAGTCTGCCGCTGGAAAGCATTAAACCCAGAAGCGCCAAGCCCCGCAACGGGTGGGTTTGCTGGTTCAGACCTTGCCACGACTAAGGCACAAGTTCGGTGACAGGCATTCGGAGGCCTTCAAAGACAAGGCCCTTGCGTTTGCAGAGGCCACCCCGGAACAGGCTTTTCGCATGGGGAGGGGTGCGACACTTCCGCCGGAGTGGGACGGCATGAAAGAGAGTGTCATGCGCGACGTCCTTCGTGCAAAATTTGAGCACGATGGCCTCCGCCAGCTTTTGGTAAGCACTCATCCCCACCCGTTGGTTTCGGTGAAGTCGGATGCTTACTGGGGAGCCGGCTTTGATGGAAAGGGGCGCAACAGACTTGGAGCCTTATTGCAGGAATTGCGCGACGAGCTCTTGCGTTGACGATTTTCGAGCTTTGGAGCACTGCAACGCGTTTGCCAGCGAGGTCAGATACGTATGCGTAGCTTGTTGCATGAGGACATTTTGTGCTTGAAATTTTAGCTACCACTCTCCCGTGAACAAAGCGACACGGTGCAGGGTCGCTTCTGTGCATTTGGATTGAGATGAAAATGGCGCGAACTCAAGGATCGAGACGAGAGATCGAGTGTGCGGTGTGATTGTGATCTATGTTAATGTCGGTTCGGGGTTCCAGGGTTTAGTTTTCGGTTTTGGAGCCCGGTTGAGCGATGGCCAGGGTCTGTTTCAACCCAGGGTCCCTCCAGTCATGAGCCGCGTATTTAACCAAGGCTGCTACTTCTGGTGTGGCTAGGTGTAGGCAGGTGGAGCTACACTGGCTTATATCCTTAATGAAGGATACTGAGAACTGACCATGGACCTTCAACAAGCCCTCTTGACCCTGAATCCTCTCAGATTGCAGGTTGTTTTGGCTTTTCAGAACAGAAGCTTCAGAAGCACACGCCCCTGAAACCCAAAAGATCAGCCCTGGAGTCTAAAGCAAGTAGGAGCTCTCATGAAGGAGTCGCAATATGCACGCATGCAACTAAAGCATTCTGGAAGAACGCGTCCAGAAAACAAACCTTCATAAGCCTTGTTCTCGCTTTGTGCCGGTGAACTTGACAGGACAAAGTAGTCGCCTCGGTAGTTTCGCAAGGTTTGGCAGGTGAAATCCTTAGACGGTGGTTTGTGGGCGAAGAGGGGTGGGCGGTATAAGCAGGTTTCACAGTGCAGTGTGGGATTTAGGTTAGGGTGTATCGAGCTCTCACCCCTCTCCGCGACATGAAGCGAGGCCATCGACAGCAACCAGTCCGGGACGGTCTCTTTTCTGGACCGATTCATGCAGGGCCTGAAGCCTCAGGTGTAGTCGTACTGTACAGTTCCTTCGGCTGAATGACATGGTATTGTGCTGCAGCAGTTGGAGACGAGATCGCATCTTCGTAGTCCTCCTGTGGACTTCTATTTATGTGTGTGCACGTATTTCAAATGGGTAAATAACCAAATCAATATCTCTGTATACACATGTGTGTTTACATTTCTACACATACGCAGCCAGGCAGATTGAAAGATGGATCGATGGCTGGATTCATGGATAGCCGGACGGGTAGATCCACAAAGCGATTAGATTGTTTGGTTTGATGGGTAGGTCGATTAAGTATGCAAACAAGTAAGCAAGTAAGTAGGTAAGTCAGTGAGTAAGCAGAATGCTCCCCAAAGCTCTGGACTAACTCTCCAGCCCTCTTTAAACTTTAACCAGGATTTCAGTTTCGCGTTGACCAGATGTGTTGGACACCTGCTCGGAAGCTGCATGTTCATCCCATGGACACTACATAAGAAGCAAACATCAAGCTCTTGGCAACACAGACTGGAGCCCCAACCCAAGCCGAAATTGTACACCTTTCGATGCTGCTACACTTGAACTCCAAACGCGGGCGTGCGCAGGAGTTGCTCCTGGCCATGGACGAGCGTTCGGAAAGGCCCAGCAGCTGGGCCTAGCACAAACCCCCACGCCTCTCTGCTCCTATAAGCCGACGGCACGCCTGAATTATGGCTGCAGGGATTTAGGTTGTCAGAATTTCAGTGGTTTATGATTCGGTGCTCAGGATTTTGGGGGTGTTTGAGAATAGTGCGGGTGCGGAGCCTTCGGCTTGGGATACCTGAAACTGTCATCACCATACCTTCGAATCTCGCATCCAACAGCGCCAAACCTCTCCACACCACTTCGAGCAGGGTCCGAAAAAATCCAAAAGGATAATTTCAAAATAAGTTCCACACCGTCTTGCTAAATCTTTTGGCATGACACTGTTGAAGGCCAGAGCTTCCCAAGTTTCCGGCGCTTACCGGCGTCGTTCCCGCCACGCTCATGGTGCACAAGGCTTCGGGAGTATTTCGTGGATTGCTGCATATGCTCTGCATCCCATAAGTTGAAGTAAGCTTTTCAGGATTTGCTGCTTAGGGGAGAATCTCTGTGACCCGCAAGCTTTAAACTAGCAAAACACCTAAACCCCAGGTTCAGTTGCGAGGTTTTCATTTCGTGTTTCTCGCTTCTCAGGGATGGCAGGCTTTATTTTTTCCAGAAGCTGAGGGTTGAGAAGCAAGATACGGGAGCCTCAGCAATCATACACGTGGTCGCTTTGCCACCCTTGCATATGTACTCAGGTTTATCCATGTAGTCTAGCAATCTATCGGCCCACTTTCGGCTGCAACCGGTGGGTTTGAGGGTTGAAGGGGTTCAAAGGGAGACTGAACGAATCTCTGCGTTCAGGGCCTGGACATAGGGTTTAGTTTGGACGGTGGTTTAA